AGGTTTAATGTTAGATACACAGCTGGTGAAGTACTTTTACAGAGCCTGAGTAGTCAGTGTTTGTGATTGGAGCGTTGCGGGGTTTGGGGGGCGAGGAGAATTGCATCCTGAACTCTTTCAGTCCTGATATTGTTAGACAATTATATTTTTTTAGAGAAGAGATAAGTAGAAAGTGAGATGGAGATGGTAGAAACATTGTTTGTCCGATCTGGTAGATAGGCCTAGGTAAAGCCAAGCCATACAACGGTGTACTTCAAGAACTATGGGGTTTTGCAGACTGTTCTAGTGTGTTAGTCCTTGTGTATGCCATTTGCACCATACATAAATCTATCCCACAGAGAATGAAATGGCCAAGACAACAAACTAATGATTTGATCCTCCCACTGCAAAGCTAATTTCAGCATTCACTCAAAAGCTAGATCCAAATGCTTAGTGAGGAAGTTTGGTAAATTAATTTGCAGAAGTTCCATCACAAACTCGCGCTCATCAAACCCCCAAATAGCAGATTATAGCAAGAATGCATTTTTTTTTTTTTTTTTTTTTTTTTTTTTGAGTTGCCTGTCTGAAAGCCCTTCTTGGATTTCCTGGAAGTGGTTTTGATACTTAGGTGCATACTAACCACATTAGTATTCAACAGTACTAGTTGCATATTAATATTGTTAATGTTTTCAAGGTAAACTGAAAGAAAAGTTACACATTGCCTTAAGGTAGATATGACACCAAGAATGAGCTTTTTAAGAACTAAAATTAAGAAAATATACTAATCTAAAAATAAATATTAATATGAAGCCCCTATATTAGCTAGGTGAGATATAGGTCCATAAATCTTATGTGATTATCTTGTCAATGTATCAACCACAGTATTTCTGACTGTCTTTAAGGAATCAATAAAAAGCTTTATGTGCCATTTTCCCTTTCCTTGTTTTTAATTTTTTGTATTTGTCTTTTAAAAGTTTTATATTTTACAGTACTTAAAATTTGCTTTCATGGTTATGTATGTGTGTTAATGGCTTTAACAGTGGTCAAGAAAAAGCCAAACTTTCTTTACAGAATTGACTGAGAAAAATCTTTACAAGTAGGGAATGAGGAACTCTGGCCTGAACTATTCACTAAACAAAATGCTGTGTTCCAGAGGGTGATTAATAAAATGTTCAGTCTGCTCCATAACAATACTGCTTGCTAATGGACACTTGCAATTTTTGAGATGTTTGGAACACTTCCATCTTTACTCCAGATGCAAAGACTGCCAAAATCTGCCAACTGTTAGCTGAGAGGATGAAAGTACATTTTTTGTTGTTTGAACTTGTCCCATACAAATCTGGCCTTAGCAAAAAAGAAGACTTCCATGCAGTGAGGAGGGTTTGCTTATACTCAGGTCAGTTAAAGCTTCTCCCAGAGATACTAATGTCTTTTTTTTTACTGTGCATACTGTTATGCACAACTGCATATTAAAAGAAGAATGAAATTCCTTCACCAGTTTATTCTTCTGACTATTGAACTGGCAGAGGCTCAAGTGCTTCTTAACACTGTAGTAAGAATTTCATCATCTGTAGCTAAAATTTAATGTAAACTGGTGTAATAGGAATTTGAAAGATTATGTTTAATTATACTGTGTTAGAGTCCAGCTGTGAAAGCACCATTTCAGATACAAATCAGTAGGAAGCATTTGCTTGTCTAGAAATGATCACAGGAGTCCTTTGCAGTCCTGGAAGTATACTCTTGTGATTTTATGGAGATACTGCACTATATACTGGAGAGTGGTTTGGTAATGTCCAGAGACAGCATGGATTTTTTCATATAGGAGAATATCTGCAGACTGTATGACATGAGTATCAGGTATTAATTTGAGTCTTTTTTCCTAGAGTCTAGATTTGTGTTTCTAACAGAATGTTAGCCTTGCTTGGAAAGTAAACATTACACAACATTTACCAAAATGGTACATATATGGAATAAGAAATAGTTACAAAATCTTTATGTAGCATTGTTTGATAAATGCTGTCTTTTTATCACATTGATTATATTAAAAATACTTTAATAGTTTCCTGTTTTTTCATTTGTTTTGTATGGTAATCATCATAAGGATATTAATGACCATGAGTAGAATAGACTTGGCTCAGGAGGGAACATGGGATCCATGAATATAGCACTGGGGTGGCAAAAGGCATGGATTGTATTTTGCTTTTCATAATCACTCTGTAAATGGAATGGGACAAATTAATTTAATCTCTGTGCCTTGGTTTCCCTTCATACAAAATTGAGATACCAATACTTCCTTTGAAAAATTCCCTGAGGTCTATAGAAAGATAAGTTATTTAAGAACTAAGTAAGATTTTATTGCTGTTGTGGTAAATGGAAGGAGAAGGTGTTCATGATCGTTCACACCAAACGTTGGTTTATTCCCTGTTTCCATCTTCTAAATGGTATGTTCTGCAAATAAAGATTTCCAGCATGGATTGGATGCAGAGATTAGAATTACCTGTGGCTCAGTCAAAGATTTATCAGTGGGATCTTTCAAGGCTGCAGCTCAGATTCTCTCCTGCTTATTCTGCTTCCTAAGCAGTTGCCATGCATCAGATCTGGGTTTTTTTTGAAATGTTGCTGTTTTGATTTAGTGGTATTTCATGTCTGCTTGTTTTCTATTTTATATCTCTTGTAATTCTTTTTGTATATGTTGGAAGACTGAAAAAGCAGGACCTTTGAAATTCTTTATTGATGGAAACATTACAAAAACTTAAGATTTATATTCAAATCATTTATGTGCAGGGATATTTGTCAAAGGAACCTGTAGGACTTATCACTCACTTTGGTTGAGTTTCAGTGGGATTTCAAAGTCTTACTCCCTCAGGCTCATCGTTCCACTTCTTTATACCTCAAACATCAATCTTATCATACATAGCAATGATTTATTGGCAAAGCCACTCAGACAGAAACCACAAGGAGGTTTTTAGGGCAATTGTTTCCCTTGAATTACCTGATATTTATAGCCAGATTTCATATATTCCCCATGCTTCAAGCACAATGCTCCTGCTGCTCCTGATCCGCCATGATCTTCTGTGTTCTGTGACTTTCCTTGGCCTGGAACTGAACTGATAGATAACTTGGAATTTGTAAATGGGATTTTAATTCATGCATATTTAGGAAATAAACCAACATATAAATCAGCAAATAAAACAGGACAATTGAATGTGATCTATCATAGAGCAATGGGCAAATTACTTGTCATGAGGCAGTGTCTCTGGCAGTGATGAGAGACAGGGAAAGAACAGGTATAATGTCAAAGAAATACAAGTTTTAGAAGTGTATAATTTTGTATTTCACAGATATATTTACAAAATATTATTAGAGATAATAGCAACTGGCATTAAAGAAACACAAGCAAATTAATTTTCAGTGTACTGTAGCGTTAATTTTATTTAATATTTGTTTGAGTAGCTATAATTTTAATTACAAAAATGACAAAATTGTATTGTGGTAATGTAAGACCTCTTGATATAGCTAAAAATTGTGCTTGTGTTTTTTGTCAGGTTAGTTTATAAGTATCCCATTACATCATTCCAAACAGATCTCCCCAAGCACCTGTCACAGTTCCTAATGACAACTGCTTTCTCTCTTGCCCCTGCCATGCTCCTTCAGGTAACAGAATTCTCTTTCCTTTATTCCACATGCTCGTCTTAGCCTCTGGCCCTGACTCGGAAAAGGTCCTCACAGCTCCTTGGCTCACAGACCAAAGGAACTTAAAAGGGCTGTGGCTTCTCACTGTCTACTCAGCACTCCTTTTGTACCACTGCATGACTGATTGAGAAAAAACTTAAGCCTTGTTAATCAGCATGTAAGGGAGCCAGCAGAAAGTGATGAGGACTGATAAGTTCCTTGAAATTACTTTTATATTGAAATCACTTGAATACTTTATATTAGTTGAATTTTATCAGGACTTGTCCATTCAAAGATAATTTACTTGAAAATGGCTTATGTAAACTGTAACATTTGCAGAGTAATGGCAATAGTACAGACTGTTGTAACATACTAATATTTTGAAATCATGGGTTCGTTTTGCACCTCTCCAACAAAACTGAAATTGCACCAAGGTAGCATCTGCTAATACACTGAATATAGTTTGCTTCCAACAAAGTTTTTAAGCTCTTCCATTTCCAATTTATATGCTGTGCTGACAGTAGCAAACCACTAAATCCATTTACAGATCCAATTTGAAGTTAGTTGATGAATTTCCATTGCCATTGTTAATCAGTATCTTTTTTGTTTGTTTCTTTAGAACAGCAACAAAACCTAGCAGATGGGATACCCCACGCTGGGTGACACAGGCATCTAGTCTAGGTCATCAGTCTGTTTTCACTTGCATCCTTTTCTCCAGACTGTACTTCCTGCCCAAGATTAAGCATCAAATTTCAGCATACAGTGTGTGTCACCTGTTAATCATCAGCTTTTGTTCCCTACCTATGTACTTTTGTTAATAAAATCCATACCACCGCAGAGCCTTACTTTCCCCTGTGGAAAAAATCTTCCTTATATCAGTCTGTCTGGAAATATTGTACCCTTTATGGGTAGCCTTGTTTCCTTCCTTCCGGTCTCAGCCATTCTCTGTGCTCTTGAAATTTTGGGTTACTCTCCTTCAGGTGCGTTTGCTGCAGGAGCTATTTAATATCCTTCTGTGTATTTTTTTTCTTACTTCTTAATGTAAAATAGTGGTGTTTATTGAGATTACTCTTGTCACACATACTATGTGTATCAGGTGCAGAAATCTATATATTGGAAGGGGTTGATATACAAACAATAGCTAGCAATCATGAAGGAGAATGTCATACCATTAATAAATTGACTTCCTCTTTATTATTCTCAGTATTATACAATTTTGTGTGGTGGTTATTCTCCCTTGACAGTTTTACCAAGGGAATATTTGCAACCAGAGCTTTTCTGTTTTGGCCCTCAAAAAGCAGATTAATGTTTCATTGTGTCAAAAAAAGCATATCTTTATTCCATTACAGGAATACACAATAGATGTTTTCTTCCGTCAGAGGTGGAAGGATGAGAGATTAAAGTTTAAGGGCCCAATGAACATTCTTCGATTGAACAACTTAATGGCCAGCAAAATCTGGACCCCAGATACATTTTTTCACAATGGGAAGAAGTCAGTGGCTCATAACATGACAATGCCAAACAAGCTTCTACGAATCCAAGATGATGGGACTCTCTTGTACACCATGAGGTAAGTCTTTTCATCCATTCTCTACTCAAGATATTTCTCGATGTGATTTTTCCAGATAATAATTAACTAAGGTTCCAGGAGGACTCTCCTTTGTTTAATTTCTGTCCCAGCAGAAAGAAAGCTAGGAAAACATATGTTTTATTTCCAGTTCTGTTACAAGTCTGTTGGCTGATTATGAGTTAGATCAGTTTTCCTACATGTTCCTCAGTTTTCATACCTCTATAATGTATTAAAAGATAGGGACCACCTGCATAAAGTGCTTTGAGACCTTCAGATGGGAATCACTGTGTAAGAATTGTTAAGAATACTCAAAGTTTACCAGTTCCATCTTAGAAAGATTAAAATAGTATATGACTTTTACCTGTTACTGCACCCATTGTACTGACCATGTGAGCCCTTAAACAAATTTATTAAGATCAGTGGCAATAAAAAATAAAGAGGAAGAAGAAAGGCTTAATAAGGCCTCCAATTCTTTCCAGCAAGAACTACAGGGAAAATATATCTTACTCATTACTGTTTCTTTATATGCAATTACAATATTTTACTTTGAGTTTTAATTTTTGCATGCTATGCATGATTAGCAGCTAAGATAAACATTAAGCTCGTAAAATGTATTAAATTTCTTAGAAAATAATCGATGAAAAATTATAAATATCATGTATGTGTAAGCATAAGCGGTGTTTTTATAAGACTGATTTCTTCTTTGATTAATCTTTTTGAAAAAATGTTACCTATATGAGTTTTTTTGAAGTTTTTTATCCAAAATTCCAAACCCCCCTGACTTAGGTTCATTCTTTTTCTTTGAGAATATTTAATAAATTAAATTTGTTGTGAGTGTAGTCTTAAAATCCCCAGCCTAAGTAAGATGTAAAACGTGAGCTGTAAAACAAACGTGTACTGTGCAATTTTTCCATGCAGCTGTACAAGCATCCCTTAAGCCTGATTTACTATACAACACCCTAACCCTTATAGGATTGAGTATTGATGGGTAGACTGCTGATGATGTTGAATGATGTGGTGCTTGGAGAGGTTCAGAAAAGTTTGCTGGAAATAAATCAAGACCCCCATTTAAAGTATTTTAGCGTGGGCTCAAATCAATATTTGAACTTATATCTCTATAAACTGACTGAAATTCTCTCCCTCCAGAAGGTATTACATGCATATGCTATAAATAATAAGAAATACTGTTTGAAACCATTTTGAAGAATTTTTTTTTTTTAAAACATAAGATGGGTCATGTCAGCTAGAGTTAACTAAGCATTTTCATGGCTTGTAAGTATGAGATTAATGTGTAAACTGCTTTCATTGTCTAGATTTTAAACAGCCATTTTTTTCTGTGTCTATTTAAAATGATAGTGTGTTTTATATCAGAGCTCATGCAGTTCTTTCCTTTGCCTTCAGCTGTTTGCTGACTTGTCTCTCTCTCTGCCCCTTGACTTCAGAAGAACTTTCCTGGGGAGTGGGGGAATAGAAATATGGAATATTTTTGGGTGGAAGGGTGGGAGAACATAGTAGGGAATATGATGACTATGAACCAGTGGGAGTACAGGAAGATGTAGCTGATGTTTGAGGCTCAGTGAAGAGGAATGAAGACATCCAGAAAATGATCTCTACCCAGAGGACATTTACAGGGTAGGAAGGAGAAACAGAGCTGCTTTTTTTTTTTGTTTTTTTTTTTTTTTAAATAATTAAAAATAATGGGAAAGAAAAGTCTGTCAAAAACTTTCTTCAAACTTTTAAAAATTATTTTTATCGTATTATTCCCAATATTTGATACTGGGATATTCTTGGGATTTTTTCACAAAATGAGCAAAAGTGAATGCATTGTTAACATACTGTCATTATAATCACAAATAACATGGAGAATGAGTTGCAGCAATCTTTTCGAAGAATACAAATGGGTTTTTTTCTACATCTTCCATTCAAACTCTAAAAAAAAATAAATTCAGAAAACTATGGAGCACAGTCCTTTGGCAAATTAACTGTAGTTTATGTGCTTTTGTAATGAGCCTTTGAGAGCCATATAATCACACATGTACCTCAGAATATTATGAGAAGAAAATGACTGTTCTTAACAACCTGCAGTTACATAATTTATATTTTCATTTAAATGGCCTTTTCTCATAGCTTTGAGGTCAGCTTTTTCAGGTTTTTGATGTGATAAGTCAATGTCTTCCAAAGGAACACATAAAAGGGAAGAAGCAAGAGCTGATTTAAATTTTAATTAGTTTAATATAACAGTTCAGTTTCATCTCCTAAATCAGCATGAACTCTGTTCATTTCTGTGGAATTGATTTTCTTGTCCTGCTAACTGACTTAAATGCATAATGGTCTTTTGTCTTTTAGGCTTACAGTCCAAGCTGAATGTCCAATGCACTTGGAGGACTTCCCTATGGATGCTCACTCATGCCCCCTGAAATTTGGCAGCTGTAAGTATGTAATGAGAAGTTAGTGAATACCTAACATTGCTCAGCATCACTTTTTTTTCAGTAAGTTGTTACATTAGACGTTTAAAACACAAGATGGTACTTTTAAAAAGATTTGTAACCTGACACATCAAAATTTCTTTTCTCTACTCAGTGTTGTGTCTTCTAATGTATTTTAAAGCTTTCTTGACTCCAGTTGACAATAAACACTATGCACCTAATTGAGTACTGCACTGATCTACTTTTAGTCCAGCATGCAAACCATACCGATGAATGCAGACCTGGGTGCACGTAGCCTGTGCAGTATTAATGAAGAGTAGATTAAAGACGTCAGAGAATGTTTGTTTTCATTTATTGAAACATTTTTTTTCTCCTTATTGTTAATGATATTTGTCTTTACACTATTAGTCAATGAAGGCAACAACAAATGGCTTTTTGTGCTAAAAAAATTCACTCATTAGTGCATTTGCATGTTATAGACAGATGGACTTTGATCTCACCAGTAGTATTTTAACAACAGCATAACTTCATTTACCTACATTACAACCTTTATTCTCCTTCATGAATTAGGATCACATTATATATATTTCCTGGATTTCATACACTAAAAAGTTTTCTTGTTTTCTTTTTTTCTTTGGCTGCAGTCTACGTTCTCTGCTGGGCCCAGGAAAGGAAATGTTTTTTTGAGGAAACTGGTTAATATCTTTAAATTCTGGCTGGTTTTACATTAATTGCAGCCACCACACATTACAAAACAGGTGATATGCTGCCACTAAGGACATCATTAACCAGATGAACATTGTCAGAGCACCGTGCACACTCTCCATAACCCTGACATATTCCTTTTCCTTGGAGTTTGGGACAAATTAAACCAAGCTTGTGTTTCTGATGATGTTTCCCCACTAGAGAGAAATCTTAGCCATGGAGATAAAAGATCGTTAGAATTAATATTTGTATCATGGAGCCTCTTTTGCCCCCTAAATATTGTATTTATAATACATAATGCAGCTTAACTAACTAGTATCAGAGATGTTATCCAAAATCGGCTACTGACTAATATTATTTACATATATGTGCGCAGCAAGGTATGTTTGATTTATAACTTGTGGGAGGAAAGAAGACTCATATGTAGCCTCAAAACAACTCAAAAAACCCTGTAATAATCAAACTGATACTCAGGCCAAGAGGCTACTTTATAGCACATCTTCATTCACATTCCTAAGCTGGAAACCCTTCTGACTAGGTATACTAGAGTTTGTGTGAACAGTTTCTTTTTTTTTTTTTTTGTCTAGGTTGTTTGGTTGTGATTTTTTGCTTACTAATTTGTTCTTTGTTCTCTGCCCATGGTTTCTGGTTTTCTAGTAAACAGGAGAATTCAAACTGTGAGGAATGTGATTTTAGAAAAGCGGTCTTTCATTTCTCCCATAGTCACCTGTGCTCCAGCCTGTTGGCGCGTCCAGGGGACTCTTATTTCTGTTCATTTTGAATGGCTTCGCACTCATTTTATTCCTTTACCTAGAACTCATTTCTAGACTACTGTGCATTTTTCAGCTTTTATTCTGGGATAGAATTTGAATGATGAATAGTGGTGAAAATAAAAAGGAATCCTGAGGATTTTGGTTTAGCTGAGGCAAGTCTGCCAGTGGTATATATTTGTCACAGATCTGTATATGCTGCTAATCTTACATTGCTAGGGGGATCGTCGTCCTGTATGAATGTCCCAGGGTTTTTTTTATACATAAGGGAAAAGCCAAACTAAGTGTATTGGAGAAGTTGTAGCGTAACAGATTGCCTTTCTTTATCCTTATCAAAAAGTCTAGCCAACAGTGGCGAGGATGGGGACAAACCAGCAATCGGCAATACTGCTGGTTTGCATTAAAGCAGAGGTCTTGTGGGAAGCTGGAAAGATACAAGGGAAGTGTTAAAAATCTCTGCATGCTACCCACCTGCTAGATTTTGTTAGTCATGCAATTTATGGCTAGTTGCATGAAGAAGCTTCTTTCTGGGACTCCAGAGAATTCTCAAGTGAAAATGTTTGCAGCCCAACAGAAATGTTGCTTTTCTTTTTCGCTTCACTACAGTTATGGTAAAACTTAAAATGTACTTGTCTCAGTCAATCAAAATGAACACACAATTTCTTCCATCAGTGGTTTACCCTTTTCCTTTCATACTCCATTTGTTAGGAGGGTATTAGACTGAAAAACTTGTAGGACATACTCATTTTTTTTTTCTTACTCACTGGAGAGGCATTAATGTTGTTTAAAATACAGTGCTGATTTGCTTTCATTCCAGTTTATTTTGACAGACCTTAGGCTAAATGTATGTTTAATCATGAACGCACTGAGAGAGCAGCCTGCTTAATGTCAGCGTGTCCACAAAAAGATGCCAAGGAGTAAAATTTAAGAGGGTATGCAGGGCAAAGCACAGAGCCACTACAAGTTTGTTAAGGGTATTGTCACTGAACCTGGCTTCCCATATTTAGGTATGAATTTCAGCTAATAATAAAATGTTTGTGATACACTCCCGAAGTGGAGACTGGGGACAATGGGAAGTCAGAACTATATAGGAACGAATTTTCAAAAATGTTGCGTGTCCTAAATCTTGTAAATTGTTGTTCTTTTCGTCTGGCTTACCACAACTTTTAGGATACGTATAGTATCTAATCTCTGACAAGTTTTTTAACAGTGTAGAAGAGATGTTGTTTGTAATTTAATAGCAATAAATTGTGGTTAATAAGATCACAAATGAGTGCCCCATTCCCATGCTGCAATAGGCATTTACCCTACAGTAAAGCTATTTTAAATGGCCAAACATATTCTTTACCATGTCATTTTAAGTTTTTGGGTTTTTTGTTTGTTTGTTTTTTTTTTTTTTTTTAAATAAGTAGCTCTTCTAATTCTATGAGTTTTGATGGAAGCTGTCTAATTTAAGTTGATGACAAAATATTTTATCTTATTTCCCACAGATGCATACACAACTTCAGAAGTGACATACATTTGGACTTATAATGCTTCAGATTCAGTGCAGGTGGCACCAGATGGCTCAAGATTGAATCAGTATGATCTTTTAGGCCAAACAATTGGAAAAGAGACAGTTAAATCAAGTACAGGTTAGTAAAAGATATTTTGAAGAAAAATGGCACTCACTCGGCTAAGAAGAACATAAGCATTGCTGGTGGTGTTAGAAGGCTACTGAAAAAGACTTGCAAAATGTGAGATATTAGGCATAGTCTATTAATGTATGGTACAAGTAACACATAGCAGCACTTTACAGATTCTTTCAAGTTAGTAAGTAACTGCTGATAGCAGAGATGAACTTGTCCCCAGTGACTGTTTTTTAATGCTGTCTGGAGCTCAGTCTGGAATCCTAATGTTTGTAACCCAAGACTGGGATAATTGTTTAATTTCATATGGTAAATGACATTTTTTTTTTCTACTAAATGGTGAAGCATGCAGGTTTCAATCATTTTTTCCTTCCATTGTGTTTTTGGCATTAAACACTGGATTATTCTACCAGACTCTAGACTGTGTTCCTACATGTGCCAGGCTGTGATGGACCCCCATGATTGCCTTCTGACTGTAGATTAAGTTCTCAGGGTGCCTTTGTGTGAACCCAGGAAACTGCCTATGTGCAGAAGCCTTCAAGTTCTTGTCGGGGCATACAAGAGTTCTTTTAAGTTCCTGAACACTGATCTTTCCTGGAGCTCAGTGGGAATAAGATGTAGTTGCACTCAAAAACTGTCTTATATTCTGTAGGATGCTTTCTACTACAAAATGCATTCTGTGCAATTTAACCCTAGCACATTTGGTTCACATAAACGTATCAACCTTTCTTTTACCAAATAAATAGACCTTCTTAAGATTATAACCTTTTGTTTCATTGTATTTTGTTTGTTTGTGGCACCTAGGTGAATATACAGTAATGACGGCTCATTTTCACTTGAAGAGAAAAATTGGTTATTTTGTCATTCAGACTTACCTCCCCTGTATCATGACTGTCATTCTCTCTCAAGTGTCATTCTGGCTGAACAGAGAATCTGTACCTGCCAGGACAGTCTTTGGTGAGTATGCTGGGTAGCATTAGCTTTGTTTGCAACAGCTGAAGCTGTTAGGAAGCATTTCTGAAGTCTGCTTGGTAAACGCCTTTTTCATTCAAGTTAGTGTGTTTGTAGAATGTGATACTATTCCTAGTCCAAACAGCTTTCAACTGCAGCTTAGAGATACCCTGAGAATCCCAAAGTTTTTGGAAATTAGCAAAACTGCCTATATATCCTTGACTCTTTTAAGAGGAAAACGTTTTCACAGAATGGAAAAAGATGGTAATGTTTCTATTTAAAAAGTAAATTCAGATTATTTTCAGAACTGTCTTTCTTACCTTGATATTATCCAGATATGTTGGTACTTGGTAGGTAAGCACATTTCTAAACATATTTGTAAATTAAGCAAATTAAATTTGAATTTGTTGAATTATTTGAATGTGTTAATCTTTGCAAGCTGCAGTTCTTTTAAAAGAAACCCTATTCTGGGGGCCTGGGCAAAACTTTCTCACTAATTCAAATTAGAGTGCACTATAAGGCAGCAAACAGCTTCAGCAGCACAAAATAATGGTGTTTCTCTTACAATAAGGTTTTGCTCTCTTCTTTATTAAAGCAAAGTAACAACTGTCTTCTTTGCATAACAAAGTTCTTTTAATTTGTTTGCTTTTAAAAAAAAAGAGACTAGCACAACAAAAAGAAAATAATGTCTCTGTGGAATCAGCTATCAGAAATGCTGCATAAATTCATATGATTAGTCATCAGTAAACACCATGCCCTCTGCAAAAAATAGGCCAAACTCAAATGCATATTAAGTATGATGCACAACAAAGCACTTACTGTCTCTCCTGGTAGAGAAAATGCCACAGAAAGCATTGTGAAAATTGCAGGTTTGAGTATGAGCCTTACTGAAGTCAGATGAAATGGGTCAGTGCTTTTAGTGGGACCAGAATTCTACCATGTTTTCCCAGGCGGTTATCAGGCAGATTTGTTTTTCTTTCTTCAGAATCTTCTGTGAATCTGTCCATTTCTGCTTATCAAAATGCACATTCCTGTTTTCCAGCCTTGCAAGTACACTGTCAAATCCTTCTATATCTCTGTCTTTGCCCTTTTCTGTACCCCCTCTTATACATTTAGGACAGCGTAACTTGTTTGTCCAAAAGAAATCTCACATCTTCTCTTCCTAAAATGCACTTTCTGTTTCTGTGTTATTGGTAACAAGACACTACCTCAGTAACAAGGCACTAGGATAATTTTTCTGGAATGATTTGTCCCTTCCTGCATACCTCTTTCTTGTTCTTGATTTATTTTTTGTTTAATTTATGGATAAATAAGAACAGAACCACACAACCCTGTGACATAAAATCTAAAATTTGTTTACTAAGCATAATGCATATATTGAGGACATAGCAATTTCTATGCTAGTATTTTATTTCTGCCACACAGACATGCACCTCACACACCAGTCAGGGCTCCGTCATTCCAGGCCAGCTTAGACTGGCACCCTGGAATCAGGGGAGCAAGACACTTCCAGGCTCTGCCTGATGGAGCAGCTTAGCCCCCTGTCCTGGTTTCAGCTGGGATAAAGTTAATTTTCTTCTCAGTAGCTGGTGTAGTGCTGTGGTTTGGATTTAGGATGAGAAGAATGCCGACAACACACTGATGTTGTAGTTGTTGCTGAGTACTGCTTATGCTAGTCAAGGACTTTGCAGCTTCCCATGCTCTGCCAGGTGCACAAGAAACTGGGAAGGGGGCACAGCCAGAATAGTTGATCCAAACTGCCCAAAGGGCTATTCCATACCATATGATGTCATGCTCAGTATATAAACTGGGGGGGACTGTCTGGGTATCAGTCAGCAGGTGGTGAGCAATTGCATTGTGCATCACTTGTTTTGTATATTCTTTTATAATTTTTTTTTCTTCTTCCTCTGCTTCCTTCCTATTAAACTGCCTTTATCTCAACCCATGTGGGTTTTTTTGGGTTTTGTTTTTTTTTTTTTTTTCTTTTTTTTTTTCTGATTCTCTCCCCTACCCCTCTGGCCGGGGGGAGGGTGAGTGAGCCGCTGTGTAGAGCTTAGTTGCCGACTGGGGTTAAACCACGACACCCCCGCATGCAGCATTTGCACCTCAGGCTTAGCCTTCTGCATTGGGTTGGATGTCCCCTGAGGAGCTATTTCTTAACATTCGTTTACACTCTAGATGAGGTTGTCAGCATAAGCTGCCAATGGCCTCTCTCATCACAAGCCCCAGGCGAATCTCCCAGTCTTTCTCCATACCTACTGGCAGCAGCTGTCACTGGGATTTCTGATACCCTCTGGTCTCCTGCCTAAATGTGTTATAAAAACATGAAGTTAGCCACGGTTTCATAACAAAGTTCATCTATTGCTTCTTACTGTTTCCTGGTTCATACCGAATTATTCTTGACAGAGCTGGGCAGGTACGCTCAAGGTCTCATTTGGGTGGTACTTTCAGGTAGACTCCACGCAGTGACACATGAAGCCCATACTACAGCAAAGGTAATAAAACTAGCTATTTCCAGCAGGGAATATAAAAATTGCAGGAGATTTTATTTTACATTTTTATTGATCATACTTAAGTTTTGGTTTTTATATGGAGTAGTCACTTGCTAGATACCCATCTTTGCACTGTATAATAAATATATTGGTATTAAAATATGATTAAGTAGAAAGGATTAGTTTTGATAAAGTGTTTTTCAGAATTAATGAGAAATTTATTTCAAGTGGCTTCTTGAGAGCTACCAAGTCCTGGAAAGTTCCTTTCAAAGAAACATAACTCCCAGTTATTCAAAGTACCACTTAGCATTTATTATTTCATGTTTGAAATAAGTTACTTTTCTTTCCCCTTTCTATTCTCTTGCAATGTAGTTTCAAGTTCTAGGTTAACATTAAGGACTTGGTATAATGAGGCTTCTTTTATAGTTGAGCTCTTTAATCCCTTTCCTTTATGGCATCTATTTAATATTGTTGACCTAAGTTATCCCACATGAATTATAGTCTAATGTTATATTGTTTCAACTTTCCTTTAAATTATTGGAAGAAGAAAGTTTATCATCATTAATTAAATAAGTCTTGAATGTGTTTTCTCTAGCAGATAAATTTGAAAAGCATTTGATTGCATTTTTAACGAAAGGGAATAAGCCTAGTTCATAATGCCTTCATTTAGTGCAAGATTACAATCTGTTTCATTTAGTAATGTGTTTATTGTTACGCATTTAGTGTCAACAATATTAGCAAAACTAATCTTGTGCAGCTTATTGAATTCTCGCTTCCTTTTTAATGGGTTATAACATTTAGAAACATCACGTATATTTGAATAGCAGCATTAGATGCAGGTGACAGAAAAATCAGAAATTAGTTTTCTTAGTGCTATAGTTATCTATGTGTTTTAATTCACACAGAGTAGGAATGAGAATGTTAAAAGGAATGTAGTTAGATATATATTCTTTGATACCCAAAGCAGGCAGGAACAAAAATTAATAGTCGTATTATTTTTTAGTACATTGTCCAAGATGCAGAATTTTAAATTCACATAGCTATGTTCCTCTGTCAGGACTCTGTTCTCTGTGATCATTTTATTCTTATGCTGCATTCCCATCCCTGAGTTTTGCTTGGTGTTGGTTTATTTGTTCTGAACCTATATTAATTTATGCATATTTTTAAGCAAAAAGCCATTTAGACCTGAAATATACAGACTTTTAAATTGTGCAGCTACAGAAAGGGGAACCTAAGAAAAGTTCAGGTTTGTTCTCTGGTTATTTTTGCATGGGAATTGAATAATGTAGACCCTTCCTTTTGAACAATTCTGTATATACTAAGTACCTTTTCCCATTTTGTTGAAAAAAATCTCAACTGTCTTTATTTACTTCTTTCATGCTGCAGGTTATCTTTTGTGCCTTTAGACATATCCCACCACTCACAACTTTCAGTCTATAACTTCTTAATTGCGAATAACTGCCTACTGTAGACATAACACTCTAGGAGTGACAGTGGGCAAGCATACCTGGAAAACTGTAGCCCTTAGTTAGAGACTGAGCTGGCTGCAAATGAACTATGTCTTCTCGGCTCAGTGGTGTGCCAAGACACTAGCTCATGTTCCAATAGTGGCATAATGACATGTAACTTTTACTGGAGCTGGGGTAAATAGCACTTGCCGTTCAGCTTTGGGAATTAGCTTGGCTGTCAATTGGTGGGGAACTCTGTTCTGTTGCTCGGTGTTGGTACAGTGTAGCAACATGAGCACCGACTTCATGATATGTATATGTAGCTTAACCAACTGACCAAAGGCAACTTTTCTGGAAATAGATTATATTATGGTCCTTGGCCTACCATGCTATTTAAAAAGGCTTCTGGCCTTTTGTGTTTTTCTTTTACTAAAAAGGGTAGGACAGAGCACTTTAGCTATTTTCTACAGTCTTTCTCTCAACGGTTGTTCAGACTTACGTCCCAGTGTCTAAGCAGAATCAATGTACACTCCTTTTGTATTGTATTCTCAAGTAATACACATACATTGCGCAAGTGAAAAAGAAACAGTATGGTGGGTAGCTAAATGTTATGGTATACTTTAAAATTGCACTATGTCCAGAATTTCTAAGCTTTTGTTTAGATCTCCAACCGTTTACTCTTGGAGTGATAAAATGAAGTAACAATCTGTATCTCTGTAAAAGGGACAACAGTCTTTTCTTTCTGCTATGTTATTTGTATTTGTAAATCTATTCAGGTTTTGGGCCAGGTTGAGTGATCTAATTACCTAAAAACATTTGCAATTACTCTTAAGAAAAAAAGAAAGAGTGAAATAGAGCAATGGAATTAGCTTCCTAATAAAGAAAAAAGTAATTTATCAATCCTTTTGTGATATGTTCTTCAACCATTATGTGTATCTTTGCAGAGTGCTGTGATGAAAAGATAAAATTGTGGGAGGAGTAGCATGACATTGTAAGAAATGGAGCACATTTTAAGCATTTTGTGCAAATTATTTGCAAAGCTGAAGTACCTCTTTTGTTACAGAAATGTCCTTTGGTAACTCATTATTTAGGCTTTTACTTTCATTTTGAAAGCAGATGTCCACATTCTAACATGAAAAGGCTAGAACATTATTTAGTTGATTTAAATCTGTCCAAATTAGAAAAATCAGTTGATACACAAGAGGTGATATTAGAGTCCAAAACAAATTGTCCCCGTCAAGGCGTAGCCTGACTTTTGCACACAAATGTAGACATAAAGTAGTCATCACAACAGATTTTAACTTTAATGTTTATGCACTAGCTCATCCAATTTCCACTGTACGTTTTTAGTTAGGCATGTCTAGTTTTTCAGTTTACCTCTTCCCCTGTTGCATGGCAGTGCCCTATACCACTGAGTGACAGAAATTGTTTGCCCAAAGGTGGCTGTCTAACTTTAAACATAACTTGAACGGTATCCATCTGTCCTGGAATCCAAAATATGACAGAGCTGGTATTTTCTACATATATAAGTTTAGTGCCAGTGAAAAGTGTTGAACTGACAGCCCTGGAGATGGATATCCTCTCTCCAGTGAGCAGATGCCATTTCAAAAGCAGCACAATAAAAAAAAAAAATCCTAGGCAATCAAATAGCTCCAGTCTTGGCCTGAATGGATAAACCTGTAGTCATAGAAGATATTTAGCTTTCATAGGCATGCACTACTGAGAACAAAAGTGTAATGAAGTTGGGGTATATTTACTGTCAAGTATAAAATGCTTGGTCCTCTTTGGAGATGATAAATGTCAACAGTTTATTTTTTGGATCCTTTTTAAGGACAAACTGATGACTGCTTGTGGTCATGATATAAGATGATACCTGTACATGTCCTTCTGGCACCCGTTCAGTGCCACATCTGCTGGGTGCTGGGCTATAGAAGATAGTTCTTTACCTGTATATAAACTGTGGTCTTTCTACATCATATTGAGATATCATGCAGTCTTTACGTAGCCTGTTAAATTACTTCGGCTGTTCAAAGTAATATATGATTTAAGGGAGAAGATTGTTTTCCTCTAATTTTTTGACTACCTCATTATAGGGGGACCATCTACTCACTGTTTTTGATACAAATTTTAGTTCACTAGTGTTATGAATTAGATAAGACATGAGGAATGTTTTTGATCTGGTCAGTGTATGGGTTTTCTGGCATTTTAAGTTAAATGTGTTTTGTTTTACAAGTTGACCGTATGACTCCACATTAATAATTTTTCAGTCCTTTAGCAGTGACAAGGAGGCAGATTATTTCCATTCGGTCCTTTTTTGTAAAGACAACTTGATAATACTGATTTTTCAAATTAACTATAGTATGCAAAATGATCTGTGTTTTGACTGAAGAAGAATAGCAAGTATAAAAATATTAGAGATTCCTAAACTGACAGGTGTCACAGATTAAATTTGCTGTCCAATTTTTTCCCATTGAGTTCAGGTTACATGACTGTGGTAGCTCGAACATCATTGAATTTATAGATTGAAGGAATAAATGAAAGTGTGTTGGCAATTGTCTGACAGTGTGCTGTTTGATTAGCATGTGGGTCACAAAGTGGCGTGGCTTGCTGAACTTTGTGAAGAAATTGTCAACTGGTAGCAAGATACAAGATGTAAATTCATGATGTTTTAATTGAGACTAGAAAAGGTCAGCAGTTAATCTTAAATTAGATTTCTGAAGAAGCCAATGGGGCTTCCAGAAGATTAGTTTAAAGGTAGGACTTAAACAGAACAGTGCCTTAGCAACTGTATATGTTTACATGTGGATAAGGTCACCTTATCTCTGAGAAACAATCACTTTACTGATACTTCTGTGTAATTAAAATGATTTATCTGCAGCTCAGGACCAGTGTCAAAATTTGCATGTGATAATTTTAAATGTAAGATAGACTGCCTTCTCCCTGAGGTGCTGAAAATAATTAAGCCATATGTTGTGTAAGTGTTAGGAAAAAATATGTTCATTACAAAATATATTGTCTACATATTTTCATGCAGTATAGTATGATACCTGCTTCCTTTTCATTCTATAGGCTAGTAGATCCCAACAGTGTCATGGCTGAGTCCAGGCCAAATCTACTTCTTTACTTCACAGAGGCTGAAAAATAGCAATTAGAGAATTATGTTTGCTAAGGTGTCTGGATACTGTGTGACTCAGCAGGATGTTTCTGTGCCTTGTTTTCCCTGCTGCACGGGCCTTTGGAAGCGCATCAAGGGAGAGTAGCGCTGAGGCTGAGTCCACTTAGCTTTGCTCTGTCATCCTTTGTAGCACCCTCAGAGATGGAGATTCTTTACAGGAAAGATGGAAATTGCAAAGCCTGAAGAGGTCTGAGTAGGTGTGATTGCTGCCTCTCTTCCCCCTCACACAGTGGTTAAAAATGCTCCTCTTGTAGCAGAAGGAAAAATAGAGCTAGGTCGATCCTGCAGAAGCCAGGTGACAGATTGCTGACAGTGGAGGATCTGACTTAGAAAGAGCAGCTTTACTTTCTCTTGGGAATCGTCTTACAACAATGTTATGAGTGTATAGTTGTTGAAGCTATGATGTTCTGTTACTAGTATTTCTGCCATGGCATCTCCTTTGCCTGTCTTAACGGAGTGTACGTTTGCTGATCTGTGCTAAGTATATCACTTTGCATTGCTTTTCATTCTGGAGACATATTTAATGATGTGCCACAAAGGGAATAGTTTGGTTTGTCTAAGTGTGATTCAGCCTGAGGTGGGAGAACTGATTTACTTAAGGAATGGAGACTGCGTTTGTGGCTGTGGGTTTCTTGCTTGCTAAAACTGATTCAGAAGAATGTTCTTCCTTTCCTCCCATGTATTTTTTTGAGTATAATTCCTGGCTTCCTACTGGGTCTTCATTACGAACAAAGTACTGTAAAGTGCTTTTCATATCTGCCACAGTGAAAGAACAATCTTCCTGGATCATCAAGTCTTGTTTTCTGACACATAATACAGTTATAATAATCTGGCATTTCAAATCAATATGCTGTTCTAGAAAAAAGCCATGTTACCTGAATGAAAACTTAACCTGTTTATGTCTTCAACTATACAACTACATGGTTAGTGAGACAGCTACTGGCAAAAAAATCACCATTATTTCTAATAACAAAGGTCAATTTTTGTGGTACTGTCGGTAAAGATGGGTGCCAGACCTGCAGCTACTGCAGTGAAGCCAGTCACCAAACCTTAACATATTAATCATTATTACTGTAATGCTGCAAAATATTATGATTCCATTAAGGAACTGTTAATTTTGTCCATTGCCTGTCCTGATAGCAAAAAAAAAAAAACCCAAAACCCAAAAAACTCTCTATCTCCTGTAAGTAAAATCTTCAGCTGATTAAAGAAGGGAAGTTTAGATAACAAAATTGAACTAAAATACTTCATAAATGAAACTCCAGATGCAGCCTTTAATATGGTTCTGGCAGTTTGTCACCAACTTGAATAAGCAAATTTTCCATTGTGTTTCACAAACATACCATAATAATTTTTGGTTTGTATTTTTGTTAACATTCAAAATCCAGGTAAAATTGTTGATGTTCTGTTTTTTTGTCCACTTGCAGGAGTAACAACTGTGTTGACAATGACAACACTAAGCATCAGTGCTCGAAATTCACTCCCCAAAGTAGCATATGCAACAGCTATGGATTGGTTTATTGCTGTTTGTTATGCGTTTGTATTCTCTGCATTAATTGAATTTGCAACTGTAAATTATTTCACAAAACGAGGATGGGCCTGGGATGGAAAAAGTGTAGTGAATGATAAGGTAAGTCCTAACGAAAGAGCCCTATTTCCAGTCAATTGCACTAAAACAGCTGTAATATGTTGTTCTGGTAAAATTTGCTATATAAAAAAACCCCAACATGATGCTTTAAATCAAAAGACTGTAGGTGTGTTTTCTGTCCTGAACAAAAATGTATCTGCCCTGATGTAGCTGACCTCACCTGGTGTCAGTAATCCAGATTTAGTTATCCAGCACATTGTTTTTTTTATGTTGGGAACTGTCTGACTTGTTTCTTGACTCCTCAGATGCAACAGTTTATCTGGTTATTCAGAAAATTTAATCCAGATTATATTGGTTGACCACTTTTTTATTATTTAGTCCAATTCAGTTGGAAATAAGAAAAAGATTACAGAAAGATATAATGTATATTAATTTTCCTGGTAACTAAGGATCAGAAAAACAACTGAATGCCCATATATGTAAAAACTATTAATAACAAAATCTAGAAGTTTTGAACATTTTCAGTATTCTGAAACATATCCCTAATGATATGTAGACATTAATTTTTAAACTAATTTAACTAGCAGTTGTACAAAATTCTGAGTACTTCTTCACCTATGATGTATCAATGCTCTGAGTGCACAGAAACACAGTCATGCCTTAATTTTCTGGTATTGGTAGTAGTGTAGGTGTGATAGCATGAAGAAATTTTAACCTGATAGAACTTCTTATTTTGTGAACAGAATGAACTGGTGATACACCTAGATTTGTGTCAAGCTTTACAGTTTATAATTTTAATAACACAGAACAAATTTTAAAGCTGACTTGTTTTGACTGACTTATGTTATATAATTTTGTCCTATCACAGTCCCTGATTCTATCAATGGAAAAAGATTTCTTCTGACAAAGAATACTCTGATTTTTGTGGTTCCCCTTAAAATAGGGTAGAATATTATTTGCTTCCTAGATGATAATAGTAGATGTGAAGCAAATTTTAATTAACTGATGGTTTCTCAGCATAAAGCTCAATGCATAAAGAAGCAAAATGTTCAGTTAATGGTAAAGGAGAATTAGAGGAAATGAGAACACTGTTTATAATTCCCTGTGGCTTCTGGAAGGGCTTGAACTATTCATAGCTTCAGGATCTGTTTCCTCATGCTAGAAGTAGATACTGAATCACTACAAGTTTATCAGCATGTCATGAGTGAAGCTTTTCAGACTGGGACATTGCCCTGGCATTGTAATAATGTAGGGAACCCTTATAAAGTCTCTGATCATCCTTTGGCTGTTCCTTTAAATTAATACAACAGTGTTGTCTCATGATCGTAGGAGTGTCAGGTGTTTAACAGCTAGGTAGTATTCCTTCCCTAGGAATGACAAAATTAGCCATTCCATTTTAAGATTTATATACCATTCACATGTCCAGTTCTCTATTTTCTTTAAACTGACTTAACAAAAAGCTAAACTTTTAACATATTCATAGTTTCTCATACAAAAACATGGTTCATCTTTATTATGCATGTCTCATTAATGGTATTACAGATACCTTTTAAAAACACACTAAGTGTGTCTGAAAGGAAGGAATTATAGATCAATAAGAGTGTTCCTCTCATATTTTGATTTGGTAATTTGCTCTTATTTTTGCCAAGTGCATCTGTGCACCTAAAGCCAGGCTTACTCTTCACCAGATAAAGAGAAATACGTTTTCTCAGTGACAGTCATCTGTGTTCACATTATATGGAAATTCCCATATAAGTGCTGTCAACATGGCATTTTCACAGGAAAGCAGGTGCAGGGACAAGCTACATATTTGATCAGCCCTTTTTCACACTCTAGTCAATAAGGAACAATGCTGAATTCCCACCCGATCCTAGATTTTCTTTTTATGTGACACCATCTCCTGAGACAAGGTATTTGGGGCACAACATCTAACCATGAAGATCTTATCAAGATTTGTAGATAGCTGATAAATATAAAATTGGACCTAATTTAAAACTAAAATTGGAAATTAGGTAGATGTGTCCCTTAAAGTAATAAATTGCAATGCACATCGACGAGAAATGTCACAAGTATTCCCTCACTTGTGCCACTTCCATCAGATTAAAAATCAAACCAAACCAATATGACAACTGATGATTTCTTATATGAGCCAGAAGTTAACTATTTCTTCATCTGTTTAGTTCTGTATTTTGTGGAAGAGATGGACTGAATCTAATATCTATTTGCCTGCTTCTAAATCATATATAGAGAGCCTTGCTTCCTGAGACACTGAAATCTTTCCATCCTTTCCTGTAGGTTATTAGAAGCTCCTTAGTTTGGGATTGCTGCAAAACAGCGGATCAATTTATAGCATTACAGTCTTATTGCAGAGCTAGTCTGTGTACCTATATATATGTCTAAAAACTCAAACCTAAACTCATTATCTATACATCCCCGTACCTATCTATAGACGTAGTCTCTCCATTGGAGTGCCACTGGCTGAACTGTAGCCATTTGAAAACATACACAATCCCATAAAAACACATAATTGCCGAGGTTGGAAGGGACCTCTGGAGATGGTCGAATTTAACTCTCCTACTCCAGGCAGGGTCAGCTAGGGACAGTTGCTCAGGGTCATGTCCAGACTGTTTTTTAATATCTCCAAGGATGGAGACTCCATAACCTTTCTGGGCAACCTGTTCCAGTGCTCAGTCACTCTCACAGTAAAACATGTTTTTTTGTATGTTTAAGTGGAAAATTCTGTGTGTGAATTTGTGCCCATTGCCTCTTGTCCTTCCACTGGATACCACTGAGAAGAGCCTGGTCTGGTCTTCTTTATTCTCTCCCACCAGATATTTATATACATTTATAAGATTCCCCCCTGAGCCTTCTTTTCTCCAGGCTGAACAGTCCCAGCTCTCTCAGCCTTTCATATTTCAGATGCTTCAGGCCTTACATCACCTTTGTGGTCCTTCACTGACTCGCTCCATTATGTCCATGTTTCTCTTGAACTAGGGAGCCCAGAACTGGATCCAGCATTCCAGACGTGTCTCACCAGGGCTGAGTTGAGGGGAACGATCACCTTCCTTGGCCTGCTGGCAGTGGTCTTTGTAGTGCAGCCCAGGAGGCTGTTGGCCTTTGCTGCTGTGAGGGCACATTGCTAGCTTGTGTTGAACTTGGTGTCCAGCAGGACCCCCTGGGCTTTTTCTGCAGAGCTGCTTTCCAGCCCATTAGCCCCAGCCTGGTACTGGTGCATGGGGTTATACCTCCCCAGGTGCAGGACTTAAATTTCCCTTTACTGGACTTCATTAAATTCTTGTCATTCCATCCCACTTTTCTTACCTTCTGTTATTTTTTAATTTCTAATTCCCGTTTTCATCACTGTTATGCATTTTTTTAAACAATAATTTCTGAAAAACAGAAATAGTTCTTGAGCTAGTTCTCAGCTCACTTCTGCCACTACCAGACTGGAGTCCTTCTTTCCCTTAATTGCAATCTCTTTCTGACCTCTGTGTGTGTGTGTCTATGTATTTATACATGTAAACACCACATATTTCTCCAGAATCTCTTAAAAATGTAGACCATTACTGAAATTCCTTTATTTATTCGTGGTATGTTATGAGATGTTCAAATAATAGTGATGCTAGATTTATGTGGGAAAGATGGCCTAATTTTCATTCTGTTACAATGCCGGGTAATCTTTTTTTTTCCAGTCTACCCATTCACTCCTTCTAGTTCCCTTAACAGAGAACATTTAAAAGATCTTGCAATTCTGTTGTAAGGAGCTGGATACAATGCAGCTAGAGAAAGACCAACTGTTTTCCAGTTGTCCTTACAATCACAGGAACAGACCCTTCCTCATATAACTTCAGTAGGGCATTTGATAGTGCCCTATTTGATATAGACATAGAGTCCATGTTTTCAGAGCATTCTTATGTTGCCTGTACCTTCTTTTTGGAGAGACTGGATGGGTCTTTCTTTATGTTTGAATTTATCAGCATGGTATTCCCGGTATTTATTTTAACATACTCACACATACTAATTTGTTTCTTTTACATTTGAAATGTTGTTTTATTAAGTCTATTCCGGCAAATGCACATTAAATATTTAACTTCATGCTGTCTTCCAATAGAAAAAAGAAAAAGCATCTGTCATTAAGAAAAACAATGCCTATGCAGTGGCTGTTGCCAACTATGCTCCAAATATTACCAAGGACTCAGTGCTACCAACCATCTCCAAGAGTGCTACAACTGCAGAACCCAACAAGGCAAAGCCAGAAGCGAAGCCACAGGAAGCAAAGAAGACATTCAACAGTGTTAGCAAAATTGACAGAATGTCTAGAATAGTGTTTCCAGTCTTATTTGGTACTTTTAATTTAGTGTATTGGGCTACATATTTAAACAGGGAGCCTGTCTTACTTGGCTTTGCGCCATCAACCTAAAAGCTGAATTGCACTGAGGACTTAAAGCATCATTCTAATCAGATAGGTTGTTCGCTATGTACAGTACGACTAATAACTGCTAATCTGTGAACCATTGTGTACAGAGTGTATATAAATGTCTTATCTGTGTATCTCCAAAGGAGGGACACAGTGTTAATTCATGGGTCTGTAAACAGATAGCACCCATGGCAAATATAGCCAGCTCTTTAAAAGTTATACCCAGGGGAGTTCTGTTAAAATAGGATTCAAATATACATAATTATATTCTCTCCATACAATGAAATGAAGATATGATCCTACATAATTATTTAGGAACAGTATTTTTTTAATTTAAAGTTAAAATATTTTTCTATAAAGTAACTAATTCTTTAATGAATGAAACTGTCATTTAAAAAAGTGATTTTTTTAAAAAGGTGTAATTGTTTCATACAATAGCAGTACCCATGTACATAATAGAGTACAGAGGTCGTACAGTTCTGCTGATCAAAAACATTCTGGATACTACGTAGGCTGAAGAGGTAGTAAAGACTACTATATGGCAAAAGCCACAAGTTTCTTACTTCTGTCCTGTTTGAAGTTGTTAATAAACTCTTCTAATCGATTTCAGGGAAAAGCAAGTGTTAATCAAATTTCCAATATCAACCAACTTCCTCTAGTGAAACTCTTATTCTTTTCACTCTTTTATTTATATGATGTTGCTAAGCCAGGTTGTCTGGTTCAGCAAAGTTGGATTTTTTTGCTTTTTGATTTTGTTCTTAATTGGATTATTATCAGGTTCATAAAAGCACTCAGAAATTTTTCAGGGTTAAGTATATCAGTAATATAATACACTCTTTTTCCTTGCTTAATGTTATCCTAAAACCTGCCATTAAAATATTTACCTGTGTTTGTCCCAGAAAGCATTGTTTTCAAGGGAAACAAGAACCATGATTTAAGTTCAGGAAATTATCCATATAATAAAATTTACTGCTGCTTTTGTAAATTGCAACTTTACATTTCGCTGACATAACTTTACAACAACTTTGTATACTAGAAATGGTTTTGCTAAGATTTGAATGTTATTTTTTTAATAAAGAGTCACGCATCATCAGTAGGCATCAACTGTATTTCATGTACACAAATATAACAAAATTGGAGCTGCCATTTGCAATTTTATATGAACATTTAATACTGATCAGTAAAATTGTTTTTCATCTGAGCCTTTTCAAAGATTCTTTATGCCCCTAAAGGCCTAGTAAATCATGACATAAGTAATAATTGTGTACTCTATTTAGACTTTAGTATACTTGGCCAATCAAAAATATTTTGATTCACACATACATTAGCAGTTATTAGTTGACCTTTAAAAAAGATACACCTTTATGATGATGTCTTCGAGTAGAGACATATGTAGTCGTATAGTGTCATTTATTGCAGTTTTGTACAGTACTTGAGTATAGTGCATAAAATAGATATGTTCAGAGTTTAACAAAGTTGTACAAATATTTCTAAAATCAAATAAAAGAGTATCTTAAGACATGGAAATGTGCTAAAAACAACAAAGAGAAACACTGCTTTCATTTGCTGTTTTATTTTCCTGCTTTTTCTTTGCTTTTAATGTGATTCTGTTTTGTACTTTGTGTGACAGTATAGATGCCAAGGTCACAAATGCATATTATGAATAGAATTAATAGTTAAGGCAGAGTTGACATCAGTAAAATAAAGACATTTTGTAAGTTATAAATGAAAGGGAGAAGCATGGACAAGGTGTGTATCCCTTGAAGTCCCTCTAATTAAGCTGTCAGATTAAACCTTTCTCATCAACAGTAGTTAAAAAATGAGCACTTTACTCAGAACATTAAAATAAAAGTATCCTTATTTTCATATATATTTATATATAAATGTAGATCTTCCATGTAACATGGAGATGTGTGCAATAGTGTGATTATGAGCATAAGGCTGGAAGGCAAGCAATAAAAAAAGGTTTTTTCATGGTATAATTATACATTTTTAAAATGTTTCATTTGTAAATTATAAATTATCCCTTTAATGTCACATTGTCTAGGTATGAATAAATATATAAATATGTACATATGTACAAATAATTGTAAATACTAGAACTGTAGAAAAATCCCTTCACTTTTAACTCTGTTTTTGGAAAAGGGCTCTGACTGTATAGTTTAATGGAGGCCCATGCTAAACTGCTGTTCAACTTGAGTAGCTCGATTATGTTTTCTGTAGCTGAGGTCTCCTTCCTGTGACCTAGTGGGAGTTCTTACCTTCTGTTCAGATCAGCAAGATCTAGGGACTCTCCAGTCCTCACTGGACTAGGATATGAGAAACAGAGGTTTGTGTTTCACCCTTGGCCACATCCAGGTTCTCCAAACCCTTCACAATGTTTAAATAATGTTGTGTATTGCTCCTGCACGACACTGTATAGTCAGAACTCTCCCCACTACAAACATGAGTGTGCTCAGAGGCATGTTGGATTACCTGACAGGGAAGGATTTTCTATCCTTATCCAAGAACGGGACCCCTTAAATGTTTTTAACAGTACAAGTCTTCAACAAGACATCTTCTCTGGAAGATAACATCTGTGTAATGCAGAGCTGCATGCAAAAAGCCTATCTTCAGTTTGCACGAGAAGCCTGATGCTGTCTCCTGTTAGTCAGCTCTGCTGCTACTGCTTTTATTGGGTACAATAATTTTTCCTTCACTGACCATTTAAATCTCTCTGCTTGTTATGCTTAGGGTCAGTCAGATGAAAAAACCCGAGGTATTTATCACATACTAAAGATACATTTATCACACACTAATATAGAAAAATAGGCATACTATATAAATTCATTCAGTGAAAGATAATACATTTTAAATATCCACATGCAGTTGTTGTGGGCATCAGCAAGGCTTTTGAGTGCGTGCACTCCAGAAAAGTTTCACTTTTACATTTAGTTCAGTTGGTCCATGTTAAAGCAAACTCCTTCTGTGGGAGGAAGGAGCCTGCTTTATTGTTTCACCACTGAAACATTTATAGTGAGTAAACTGACTACACATAAGTTGCAAATTTGTAAGACTAACAACTGGATAAGTGAATTTGAATGTAAAGATTTAAGTGAACGTAAGCATGGTGCAAGGAACACCGGAATGCAAGAGTTAGGCCTTCTTTCCATTTAGCAGTGTAGAATCTGTGTCTGGGATTTTTAAGCTGGTTTCACAAATTCATGTGCAAAATACCTAAAAATTTAATTTAATTTGAGTAAAACTTGCTGGTCTTAAGTACTTAAAGTGGGGAGAGAGAGCATGAGTGAGCAAACGCAAGTCACTTCGCTATCAAAGACTTGCACATGGAATCTACCAGTGAAATTTTTGGTTGACATGTTAATCTAATTTATTTTTCCCATTATTCTTGTGTCAGGGTGTCATATTTTATGTGACTTAAGAAATTAATACAATAAATACAATGATATAACACTGTGTTAAACTTGGATTGGAATTACTATAATTCTGGTCAAGGTGTATGAAGTAGGTTTCCAATGTAGTACTGGGGCCTGTACTTCTGGATGCATGTGGTCAGTAATTTAACAGTAATTTATAAATCAGCATGAAGAATATAGAGATCAGCAAGGTTTATCAGCCAGGGCTATCTGCTGGAGACTTCTTAACTGATTGCTTTTAAAAGAGTGGCTTCCAAACTTCTCAGTTATGTTGTAGCCAATGAAATCACCTTCCATATCTGGGTTAATTCAACTTGTAACTGCTGCATTGTTGAGCATCTTTAAAAAAATTATTATGCTAGATGTTGTGAGATATGAGCTTTAGCTTGGATGACTATTCATACCACTGAACATTATGCTAAATTAAGGAGCTAGTCTGCCTGTATAGTCACAGGAGAGAGCATGAAAGAGCTTCACTAGACATCAAACAGGAGCCTTACTGAATCACCTTCCCTTCCCAGTGATTATAGGTAACATATGGGGTGATGACACTTTTCAAAAGTGGGGTGACCATAAACTGTCTGCCTGAAAGCAACCAGAAGCAGCTAGGAGGAGGTAGGGATGTATGGGGAAGGAAAGGGGGAAAGAGAAGAAGCAAATGGCTTTGTTACTGTGTCATTGGATTGTGAGATGATTGAGGAAGAAGCCATTGAGGGAGGTAAGGTGTATTTTTGTTTCAGCTTCAGTTCTGAGCCTTCATTACCATATGTGAGTTGTGGGAAAGTAACTTTTAGAGCATAGGAAATTGAAATACTTCTTGTGTAATTCTGCTGAACTTGAGGGACATGAGTTGTGCCTTTGAAACTGAGAGGCTTCTGCTGACTGCTTTGTGAAAACCATGCAATGTTGTGTGCTTTCTGCCATATGGGACATCTAGGGCAGCGGGGGAAAAGAAGCTTCAGGTATTAAGTAGAATTAAGCAGGTTTTGTTTTCTTAAGAGGTGCAACTTTCACTTAAGCACAGATAGTCAGCATCCATCCTCCATACCTTTCATTCCTATTCTGGAAACTTAGTGGTGCACAAGTTTTTGCCTTGGCCTTTCACAAAATAGATGAAGTCTATGCTTCTGAACGTTTCTATTCCTATCAAATTTGCATGAAAGATGATTTCAGTATGGATATGAAGCCATCATCAGCCTATGCCTGATTATGTGTAGTCACATAATGCTAAAATTTAGAAAGCAATGCAATGGGTTTTAAAGCAGAGGAAGAAAACATTTTAAAAACGAGCCCAGAAAATTAAATAGCTTCATTTAAAAAACACAGAGCATGATAAATGTACAAATGTCTAAACACATCTAAATAGAATCTCTGAGTGTGGTATAATTTGATGTCATATATAAAGTTTTTGTCTTAAAGGCTTTGAAATGTTAAAGTAATTAAGTGAATTTATATGAAAGTCAGCTCACGCTTCAGCCTCCAGTATAGGGAGTGGTTCTTTAGAAAGCAGAGTTTTAGGATTTGTTCCACCTCTTCCCAGCGACAGTGTACCTTCTGCTAGAATGCTGTCAGTTTGCAATATAATTTGAAGTTATATCCCTTTAACATTACCATCTCTTTTTTTTTTTTTTTAGTCAAGAAGACCTCCTCCACCTTATTTTTGCAGATAACCCAAACTCCCTAGCAACCAAAACTTTTAATTCTATTCTGAATCCAATCATTAATTCCACCCATCTGAGAATCAGTGAGGGACTTCATCACTTTAGACCTTTAGTAGTAGAAGCTAAAGGCTCACAAGTTTGTTTCAATGAATGGCAGAT